TGACTTGGTAAAATAATTAAGTACACTTTTTGTCTCAAACACGTAAAGTTAAAGCTAGTTAATTATCAAGTAGGTTTAAATTTGCTTTTAGATCCCCGCAATATATTTTCTTTCTTTTTCATGCTTGAAATTCATGTTGATTTTCTTTTTAGTTCATGATTAATGATAACAACCTCCGCTTGAGAATGAAACAATCCCGACTAAAAGATATCCTTTAATTCTTTGTCATGTCATTCAAAAAATATTTAATTTCAATTTTTTGAGGGTTTTTAATACATATTTTAAAAATGCGAATAATTAGTTTTAATATTGTTTTAATTCTCTTATTAGCCTAAAAAAATTATAAGCTGATAAATTTAAATGTTTCTAGTAGATTTATGCAACTAACAATAGAAAAAATTCAAAGTCGAGTTGTTTCGGAGTTAGAGATGGACTAAAACCAAAATAGTGCATATTACAAAGATGAAAAATAAAGAAAATATTTTGCCGAGACCTAAAACAAAGTGTGCCATATTTACAGGGACTAAAACAATATTAAACCTATCAAGTAAAATCATTTTTGACCAGGACATCAAAATGGTGCATTACCAAATAATAAGGGTATGCTTGGCACAAGCAGATGAAAAGATATTTTTATGAACTTTTAAGTAATTGTAAGCTTTTAGTGATTAAAAAAACTTTAAAAGAAAAAGGTAATAGCTGTCGATCTAATATAGCTCAACAAACCTAAATTAAACATTCAACCTCCCCACCCTAAAAGTATTAAAAAGTTGACTGTTTAATTTAAGCTTAAAACAAAACAAGTATTAAAAAGTTGATTGTTTAATTTAGGTTTGTTGAGTATACAAGCTGTTGTGACTAATTAATGCTAAAAATTGAAAACTTACTATGAAATCTCAAAAAAGATCTTTTATTTTAAAAAGAACTCTTAAAAATTGACATGTCAAACAAAGAAAATTTCATGTTCGTAATTCCGAACCTCCGTCTAGACGGCGGCGTTTGGGCCTCTTCCAGGTGACATTTTTTGATGAATTTTTTGGGCATGTTCTTCATCTAGTCTAGTTTATCCACAATAATTTCAGCTAAAAACTCAATCAAGAAGGTAATCAAATAATTTTTGGATGATAATTGCGTTTTATATGTATATTTTGGCGCAATTATCTTTAAAAAATGATTTGACTACCTACCTGATTGAATTTTTAGCTGAAATGTTTTTTGGATAAACTAGACTTAATGAAGAACATGCACAAAAAATTATATCAAAAAATTCCACCTGGAAAAGGGCCCAAACGCCGCCGTCCGGACATCGGTTCCAGACAAGAAGGCCTGACCGGAAGGGGAGTGTGGGGGGGGGGGGGGTCGGATGTTCGCAGTCTTACCCCTGTACTAAAGCACAAAGACACTGTTCCCGGATGACCCATAGTGAAAATTGCATAAAAAATTGTATGGACTGGCTGTTGCTTCATAACAAAGAAACGCAGACAGTTTAGTAAGTTATTTTGTTTAATTTCATCACATTACCAAGCTAAAAAATAGTGAGTCTTTGGCTCCATCATTACAAATGATGGAAAAATAATAAAGACTTTTAATAAATAGTACAAAAGCTAAAAGGTAGGGATTCATGCCTCCCAAACATGAACTAAGAGCTCGTCTGGTAACCGCATTTTTTGGTTTATCATTCAATTTTTTCCACCAAATATGTAACTTTTAATTTCGCACGCTGATTTCTGTAAGGTTTAAGTTACTTTTATGGTTGGATAAGTAAGGTTGAAATTATTTTTCTTGTTGATTTGACTTAAGTTATTGTAGATGATCATTTTTGCTATTTTCATATGATTTTTTTCTTTATTTTTTTAATAAAAAATATTTTTAATTTTATTTTTCATAATTCAGCAAATTCAATCAATCAAGCCATGCATTTCATCCAAAACTTCACTAGTTTCAACATAATTAATTTATTCAGCAAATGTCAGTGATATCAAATGGGTGATAAATGTATTTAGATTTGCAATTCATTTGATTCAATAATCAAGATATAAAAGTGCACTAATATGAATAGTTTTTTTTTTTTTGAGAATTCACTAATATGAATAGTTATGATCTCATTTATACGTTTTAACTCTGATCTATATATTATCAATGCATTTTTAGTATGTTCTTCCCAACTGCTCCTATTATTAAATAAATAAAACTCGATCAATGAGTACCATTATTCATTTTTTTTTTGCTAGAGGTTGATGCAGTCAACAAAATAAAGGCTACTGTGGTAGGATCTATTTTTTAAAACTGCTTTTCCTATTTGAAAGAGCAGAAACATATATTGAAGTGTTTGGGTAAAAATGCAGAAGTACTTCTCGGTGCTCCTAATTGCTCATAGAAGCAATTTTTTAGAAGTTGGGAGAGACCCGTTTCTGAAAAACTGATTCTGATTTCTGATTATACTTTTGCTTTTAAAAAAGAAGCAAAAGCAGAATCAATTCCAAACATTCCCATATAAGTAGACCGTAGTATCAGGAAAGTTAAAACGATTTCATTAATTGATTATTCCTGGTTGGTGCGGAAACCAAAACTATACTATGAGCCCGTTTGGTAGTACCAAAATCGGCTGTTTTGGCTGATTCTGCTGAAATTTATGATATTCTGGCTGGAGTGGCTGTTTTGGCTGATTCTGCTGATTTAAGAAAAAAATATTTTAAAAATATATTTTATTAATAAATTAAAGAAAAAATTATATGTAAAAATAGCTAAAATGGTCTTCTTCAGTAACTTCAGCCAATACAGCCAGAAAAGTAACTCCAACCTTACTTTTTCGGCTTATTACACAATCCAGCGCGCGAAAGTAAAAGTTACGTGTTTGGTGAAAAAGCTGGCTGATAAGCCTGATAAGCCAAAAACAGAGTTCTCCAAACGGGCTCTATATGAGTATATAGAACCCGAGAAAGTAAAAAACACTTAAAATAGAAAAAATATTAATTAAAGAATATTTAAAACCTTATTTTATACTTTTACCATCATAGGTTACAATAAAAATCTATTTATGGTTAATAGTTTATAACTTACTCCTCACTTCCCATAAATCCACCTCTTTCCGAAATTCCCATCATATAAACGTGCTTCTCTATATTTCTAATTGCTCTTAACTTTTTAAGTTTTTCTATCTCAGCATTTCCCTCTGTCATAGTACTATTATGTTAATAGAACAATAATAAAATATACTTCGTATAAGAATATAATAATAGTACTAATATATACTCTGTATATGTCTTCTCTTGAATCCCATAATAATTTGTGTGAAGATGATGAAGCTGTTCACAATGATGATCGGCAAGAAAGCCTTGGGTCACCACATGATGATGGCCTGACTGATTCTAACGGGGAAGGCTACTTTGACCTGCCACCGGAATCTTTTTGTATCCCGGTGGTTTCCGAGAAGGACTGGTTGTACCAAAACGCAACCGTCCTCCGGAAAACCTCCCGGAAGTTGGTGTTTCCCCGTGACTCCGGTCACGGCATGAAGAGCTCTCGGGCGTCGTTGAACCGGATGCATAGTCTTTCACGCATTGCTTTTCCAGCTACTCAGAAGTCCAGAGCGGCGGATGGCAACCACCGGAGTAATGGGGTGAGCCTGTTCAGAAGCCAGTCTGAACCGGTTTGGAATTTGGCCATGCAGCAGCAGCCTGAACCGGCTTCTCCCCATGTTACTTGTATGGGAAGGGTCCGGTCGAGGAAGGGAGGAGTCGGGAGAATTGGGATAGTTAAATGGTGCAGGACGGTTCTAAGAAACCGGTTTGGAAAAAGCCGGGATTCGAGCTAATTTGCATCTCCGGTTCAATGGTGTGATGTATAAAGCGGCTTGGAAGAAGCCGGGATTTGAGCAAATTACCAATTTCCAGTTGCACATCATCCAGTTCAATGGGTCTAATGTATAACCCGGTCCTGAATAAACACCGACCAGTCTCGGCCAGGTTGCAAATCCATAGGAGTCTTTGTTGTTGCATATGTATGTTTCTTTTAGTTACTATATAAAAAGTATGTAATAAATTATGAGGATTAATCAGTTATTCGTTCATTAATCACTTTTTTTGTGAGCATTCAATCAATAGTAAACAACCTTTATTTTAGTAATATATATGCGATTATTTTATATTTTTTCCTCCTAAAATTACACATGACAAAAATGTGCAAAACAACTATAATGTGCAAAAACATGCATCTAAAAGAAATATTATTTCCGTTAATTGGTTATCTTTACTTCTTCAATATTCTATTTTAAAAATAAAAAAAACTGCAATAAATCCTTCTATTATATATCAAACACATGAATTTGTTTAAAAAATTTCAAAACGAGTTACACACCTCCATCATCTTCTAGCTCTGATATCTTGCCTTCATCAACAGATAGACCAAATTGGTTGTGTGCTTGTATATACTCTATAAAAACATTCAGCTTATATATCACAATATACACTATATCATTCAGCCTATATACCCCATTGAATGAAACCAACAAACTCGTACAAATTCATTCTACATATATGAGCAAAGATTCCAATGGTGTCTCATTTTCAGCTAAAATGCGTACAAGTACATTTTCTCCTCCACCCGGAAGAAGCGAGGAGCTGGACTGATCAGACCCTTCTAAGTTCTAGAACTATGCTGAGATTTTCGAACTGTCCCACATGTCGTCCATACAGTTACTGACCTTTCTAATCTCGAGGAGGGAACAGGAGCGTTGGTGGAGGACTTCCGAAGCTCCAGAATTGATTATTCCAACATGTTTTGCAGGTTTACTGATGAGTAGGCATGGCCTCGGGTCGGGTCAGGTCGGGCCTAGGCCCAACCGGACCGACCCGGGTTTCCATCGGGTCCGATTCGGGCCTCGTGCCGGATTATAATTTTTTTTGCTTTCCTAACTACTCCCCCCCCCCCCCCCCCAAACACCCAGCCCAACCCGGGGAAACCAAAAAAAATTGAAAAAAACCAAAAAAAAAAAAAATTGTCTCAAACCGGGCCAGGCCAGGCCAGGCCAGGTCACCTTTTCTTCAGCCCGAGCCTGCCCCCGCTCCTACCTACGGTCCGGGTCAAAGACCAGTATCGGGCCCGAAGCACCGGGCCGGGCCGGTTCCCGGGTCGGGTGGCCCGAACCGAGTCCAAGACTACTGATGAGGGTGATGAGGATATAGCTTATCCTTAGGAGGATGTGGTTGCTATAAGAGTAAAGTAACGGTCTTCTAGTTGAGCTTGGTGAGAGTAAGGTAGTGGTCTTCTTATTTTGAGAAGAAGGGAAGGGATTGACTATTTAAAATTGAAAACATTGAAAAAAGAAGAAGAAAATAATAAGGTCTCATGGTCAGTCACACAAGTAATCAGGAAAGAAAATTGCTGGCTGTCTAAATTTATTGATTGATTTTTTTTTACAACTTTGAGGGTTTGATTGGGTGATTTTGAAGTATCAGAGTTTACTTGCACTTTTCAATACATAACGGGGGGTTATTTAGTAATTTTCCCTTTTAATATTCACCAAAACTAGTCATTCAAGTACCCATTATGATTATTATAGAGAAAACTAAATAGGAAAACTGATTATCTGGTGCTACACACAAGCAAAAAAACTAGTATATTCATAAAAGAGCCATACGGGTCAAGGAATACTACTGTCCAGTGGGATATAGAGATAGGCTCGATCTTGGAATTGCACTCTAAGGTCACTGGATTACACTTGCATAGTTGGGACATGATCAATATACCCAACACTAGTATGTAGTATCCAAATATCTTGGACTGTGAAAGCAGTGAATAATAATTTCCGGGAAGTATAAAAGACAGCTCTATTTTCCTGCAATACATGTACCAGATTTTCATTAGTTAAGAGTTCAAAACTCTAGACTTGTATAAGCATGTGCTTATTTCTCTGCCATGTACAAACATTGAATATTATTAATACCTACGATGCACACTTTATTTCTTTGAATTCCTGTATGTTTGCTTCCGCTAACCAGGGGTTCGTGGCAATGTGCCACCTGCCAGTCTTCTGTTCCTCCTATCAGCGTCTAATATTTAACAGCAAGATCCAAAAAGGTTACCGCTTGAGAGGAAAATTAGGAAATGATACGCCAGATGTATCTCTATACCAATGGGGTGTAACTACACATAGTACATTTATTTTAAATACATGAAAAAAAATTCAGAATAATTGAATAAATATTGTATAGGACATTAGTTTTCTTTAAAATACCAAAACGCTTTAGCTTGAACGAAAATAACTAATGAAATGTTATTTCAGAAAACTGGAAACTACTCACATTTGCAATGGACACAGAGCATTATCCATGTCTGTCAATTAGTCATGTTGACTGAGACCAAAGGCTTTTATTGAGCCACATCAGCTAGAGCTTCGTGATTGAAGCGGAGTACTCCCCCGACTTCTGAATGGTTTAAGCCGATCTGAACCCAAAACTGCTCCAAGAATTTCAGTTCCAAATTAGACATTCAATTTCAGTTTGGGGTTTTCTTCAAAACCGATGTATCGATTCGGTTTTCAGTTTGGTTTGAACCCTACTTCCAATTAGTGTCTGCAAGCAGTTTCGGAGTAGACTAGCTGTCTAGCTGGAGCCCAACATGGTTACCAAATGCTGGGGAAACGTGATGGTATAGCCAATGTGCAGGCATCCATTCCACATGTAGTACTTGTAAGGCATAGTCAAATGTGCAGGCATCCATTCTACATGTAGTAATTGTAACAAGGATGTCAATTGGACAAAAAAATTAAGGATGGATAGAATTCACAATGCTGTATGCTGATTGTTTCTTCACACTATTTCTATCCCTCCTCATCCTAATTTCATTTGCTTCATCCAATCTTCCAGCTTCAATATACATGTTGTATAGCAGTAAATAAGGGCCAGAGCTCTCTGGTTCAAGCTCCATTAACACTTCAGCTGCTGTTTTTGCATACTCCAGATGATTATGCACTCTGCAAGCACCTAATAATGCTCCCCACACAACCTTATCTGGCTCAATCGGCATATTCTTTATTATTCCCATGGCTTCCTCAATTCGACCATCACGGGCTACAATATCCACTAGAGACGCAAAATGCTCCAACCTTGGTTCAATACCAAATTCGTAGACCATGGATTTGAACTGGAAACGGCCTTCTTCCACCAGACCTGCATGAGCACATAAAGAAAGAACTGCAATAAATGTAATATAAGTTGGTTTCACATTAAGCTCCTTCATTGTGTTAAAAAGTTCAAATGCTTCTCTTGCAAGGCCATGGGCTGCATACCCTCCAATCATAGCATTCCAAGATATTACATCTTTGCGAAACTTCATTTTGTCAAAAATGGACCTTGCTTCCACTATAGCCCCACATTTGGCATACATAGTAATGAGGGAGTTGTTTAGGGGCACATCAGGTAGAACACTTTTTGCCACCAACTGATGAATCTGCATACCAAGATGCAGATCTATAGATTCTGCACACACACCTAGAAGTGAAGATAATGTGTGCTTATCAGGTTTCACTCTTTCCAGTTGCATCTGAACGAAAAGTCTTATAGCGCCTTCATAGTCTGCATTTTTCTCACATCCTGCTATAATAGAGTTCCAGGAGACGCATGTCTTCTTGGGTATCCTTTGGAAATATTTATAAGCAAGTCCTAAGTTGCCTCCTTGTGCATATCCTGAGACTATTAAATTCCATGAAAATATATCTGGATTTGGCATTTTAGTGAGTAGTTTTGAAGCTTCTTTCATATTTGAGGTGTGGACATAAGCACTAATCATCGTGTTCCAAGAAACAGTGTCCTTTTCGACCATTCGATCAAAAAGCTTCCTGGCAGACTTTATGTACCCAGCCTTTACATAGCACATGATCATTGAATTCCACGATACTATGTTTCTCCCAAAACTTCTACCCTTGCTCGTATAACATGGTATTTGATCAAAAAGGCACCTAGCTTCTTTGATCATGCCCTTCTGACCATACCCAACAATCAAGGTGTTATAAGCATAAACCAGATCAATGATTGTATCACCACTTGTCTGAAATTCGTACAGTACATTTGCAGCAGCATCCAGTTTCCCGTTCTGAATCAATCCTGAAACAAGTACACTGAAAGAAGCTGCATCTCTTTCTGGCATTCTCTTGAAAAGTTCAATACCAGCTTTTACATCCCCGTTCTGCAAAAGTCCGGAAATAGCTGCATTCCAAGACACCACATTCTTCTCAGGCATACAATAAAAAAGCCTCAATGCTTCATCTATTTGCCCAATCTTCGCATAACCACTTATCATCGTATTCCAGGAAATGACATCTCTCCTGGGCATTTGATCAAACAAGTATCTTGCATATTCTATGTATTCAGTCCTCCGACTAGACATGTAGCACGAAATCATCAAATTCCATGTAACAACGTCTCTTTCAGGCATTTGATCGAACAAGTTCTGAGCAGTCACTACTTCCAGGCGCTGCGTGTAACCCATGATCATAGAATTCCACGTTATAATGTCTCTCTGCTTTAATTTATCGAACATGTTTCGTGCATCTTCAAGCCTGCCGCTTCGGATCAAAGCGCGAATTGTGTGGTTTGTTAACCGGAGTTCCCACTTAGGCCGAGAAACAATGGGCATGGCGGTCGAGAAGTGATTTATCAGTTGGCGTGTTTCATTCTGGCAGTTGGATTGCTGGCATTTTCTTAAACTTCTTAGGTTTCTAGCGCTAACCACCATTGTCGCGATTAAAATTGTTAATGTGAGAAAGGATTTGTAAACGAAAGTTCATGGGACTGGAGCAGTAAACAAAAATAAAAGTATGGGGCTTTCTCCCGTAACCATACAAAAACTCATATTGGTTGATTACAGGGGTTGCAAACGAGCCGAGCCGAGCCGAGCCGAGCCGAACCGAGCCGAGCCCGAGTTTATGTAGGCTCGAGCTCGGCTCGAACGAGCTTAAAAAATTCGGGCTCGAGTTCCACTCGCAAATATTAACCTGGCTCGATTAGGTTCGATAAGGCTCGACAATTTTGGTTCGTTCAAAAGTTACAAGTTCAATTAGCTCGAAAGTTCGGGTTCAAACTCGAGCTGAAGTATGAAACAATCTTTAAATATTTGTACTTAACATTTGCAAATTGCAATTTACATGCTCAACAACAAAAACTTACGAGAAAATAAACAACATATAATCCTAACTTCAAGTCTTCACCGAGTTGTACTTTTAATATAAATCAAAGTGGCCAAACCATGAAGAAATAATGGATGAAACTTTGATTATTTTTGTTAAATTACTTTATCATTAATAATATCTCCCCAGTCCTCGTATATATCTATGAATCGGTATTATATATATATACATATATATTAATTTATATTGTATATTAATATATATTAATATAAATATACACATATATAAAACTTTAAAATATTAATATATATATATATATATATATATATATATATATATTAATATAAATATACACATATATAAAAATAATAAAAATACACATATATAAAACTAGGCTCGCGAGCCTGCTCGCGAGCCAACGAGCCTAAAATTAATAGGCTCATTTATGGCTCGACTGCTTAACGAGCCGGCTCGAGCTCGGCTCGAGTTTGACCGAGCGGCTCACGAGCGGCTCGGCTCATTTGCACCCCTAGTTGATTATATATTACCAATACAAAGAATATATTTTTATATCTTTGTTTTTGTTAGGGAGACAGTCAAATAAACTCTTGTATTATTATCACAAAGGTATAAGATTCAAATGGGACATTGATTTTATGATAATCTCATATTGGACACTAAAGTTTCAAATGGACCAAATTGTACATTATGATTACATATGTATCTCATATTAGACATTGAAGTTTCATAATTCATAATTTTGGGACACCCACTTATGATTCTCAATCTTCTTCCTTTAATAAAAATTGTTAGTCTTATATATATTTCCTTTCTTTTTTGTTGGTGAAAATAAACTAATTTAATTACGTATATAATTTTGGAACATTTAATTTGAAGTTTTAGAATATATATATTTTGATTTTAATTAATAAATTCTTATATTTAACAATTAAAAAATATATTTAGGACTTTTCAATCATATGATTTTTATGGAACTTTAAGAAATATCGATTTGTTAAATTGATTTAACAATATTATAGAATTCAATTACATTATACAGAGTAATAGATTTTCTTAATTGGAACTTTTAATTATATATTCTAAATCTAAATACACAAATTAAGTTATTTTTAGTTTTTAGGTGCATAAAACCAAGAGGAAAAAAATACTTGAACCTTTCAAGGTGAAAATCTTTGGCGGGTGTCCGAAAATGACCAGAAAAACGTAAAATTTGATCACAAGTAACCACAATGTCCAATTTGGTCCATATCAAACCTTAGTGTCCAATATGAGATTTTCATATAACAATAATGTCCAATTTCACCATTATCCCTAATCACAAATAAAGTTATTTAAGTTCTCTTACTTCTACATCAATAGATATGTCCTTAAGTATTAAAAGAACATAATTGACAAATTAGCAGATAAACAATAAGTTTTCCCCCTTGACTTCATACGTGGATATAGCTTAATATAATAGTCTTGGATGAGTGGCGGGTTGTACCTAGAAGTTTAGGTGTTGTTTTTTCGGCGATTTATTTTAAGACAAATCATGTCTGGCGGATTTACTTTTTCCGTGCTTCAAGGCAGGAGTGTTGGGTGATGGCGATGTTATGAGTCTTATTAGTTGAAATTGCAGGCGAACGAGAAATCTCGCTATTGTTCAAATTCCTAGCAAAGTCATTACATCGGTGCTCTAACCCTAGATCTGATTTACTCAAATGTCATCATGCTCATCAATCTCATGACAGATCAAGATAATCAGGCTAGGGCGCGGCATGGCTAGACATTGATGACTCATTACTATAATTTTTTTACAAATGCACCCTTTAATTATTTTTAGTAGTTATGGTTGGTTTAATATGTTCTACTTTATTTTTTGTATATCTTCTATGGTGGCGAGAGTTTTAGACGATCATGGATGATTTACATGTGCCCGTATGAAGATTAACGAAACATATTGCTCCTGCGTGAGTGATTGGCTCAAAATCTGGTCCATGGTCAAGAGCGTATGATCAAACTATGATTTCTAGTTGTGATGTACTTTGTCTTGTTCTTGTTATATTAATATAAGCCTCTTACCTGACCCAGATATACACCACATCAGATGAATAAAATCAATTAAAAAAAGGATACTTGAGTTTTATCAAGTAGAAAACTTTGTCTGACTGTCTCATACTCTTCCTAATCAATTAATAGTGATGACTTCTCCTTTGTATCAAATTCAAGAAGTTGAGGATGAAAACTGAAGCAGTAGGTGTCGGTGTCAATGGTGACTGAACTAGGGCTAGCCCTGGGAGCAACATGGGCGATTGCCCTGGGACCGAAAAAATAGAAGCAAAACTAGCTTGTTTCTATACTTACTCCGTTCTTAAATAAATGTAACGGTCAACATTTCACACTTGCCGAGACACAACTTTGACTATTGATATATATAAATCTCTATTAGTAAAAAAAATTAAAAAATTAGATTTTAAAAATATACAATAAGACAAATTTAACTGTATTTTTTTCAAAAACATATATTATTACATTAATAAATAAATCGTAGTCAAAGTAGAACACGTGAATAGTTTAAAATTTAGGATGTTACATTTATTTAAGAACGGAGGTACTATATATATAGTGTAAGTAGTTCTTATTTTATTTTTAAGATTAATTAATTAGGCATTTTGGCCTCATGTTTAATTTTTGTGACAACTTAAATTTTTTAGAATAGAAAGCAAGAAATCTTAAACGGAGCCAAGTTTAAAAAGAATATAAATTAACTTTAAGTAAGGCTGGTTGTAGTTCTTCAAAGCAATACAAACAATGAAATACATGTCTCTTCAAATATCATTAACTTTTAAGTTTTTTTTTGCTCCTTTTAGGATGTTTTTACTTAGACTATATTCAGTTCTAGACAAACCAAACCAGACCAGATCAGATCAAATCAGACCAGACTTGGACAGCTATAAAATACACAGAGACTGGACGTTTTACCAGACCAGACCATATCAGACCAGAAAATTCCAATCAGTGTAAAAACATCCTTAATTACAAAAATACAAATTTATATTATTGTCTTTATGCAACCAGTGCCTCTCAAATTCCAAATCACATCCTAATTGTATTCAAATTCCAATTTCAAACAAAGTGACCAACAGACAATATCCAAATTTCTAAGAATAGTTTTAGAGGATTTTAAACTTGAAGTCTTCTTGCGGAGCTCAAACGGCGGCCAAACTCTTTGTCTCTTTGAAATCTTCACTCTGTCATTCTGTCAAAGCTTCAAACTTTCCATTCGAAGCGATTCATAAATCATTCTGGATCTATAAATTTGATAATATTTTTTTCATTTATCCTTTCAAATGTATTGGAATCAATGTTTAGTGTTGTCATATGTGGCATTTTTATTTTCTTGTTATATTGAGTTGTAGGCTACTACACAATTTTATATTCTTTTATTATTTGTAATTTTTATTATTGAAAAGGGCTGATTATGAAATGATTATTGATGATTCCGCTTTACATCTGTGACAAACATTTTGTAGTTATGTTTTCTCTATTGTTACTTTTACCAACAAAAGTAATTTAAATAATAAAACAAAGTAATTTTTTATTTTACTCCATGACCTTTATTAGATAGTTTTATTGCATGAGTTATGTTAAAAATATTACTAAAAAATGAGTTATGGGCAAACGATTGACCTTTTTATTGAATTTCCAAAAATGAGACTAAAAAGAAAATATAATCTCATTCACTAGTGGTACAGTAACACACTAACACTACAGTGACCAAACATTCGTCAGTGACCGAAATCTGCCAGTGACTTGTTGTCGTCAATTACAAACTTACAATTACCCGACTCGCTAGTTACCGTTATCTGAACAATTGTAGTTACCTAACCCGACCATTTCGTCCAGTTACAGTTACCTAACCCGGTCCATTACAATTACCTAATCCGACTAGATACAGTTACCTGACCTGACCTGTCACTGTTGTCCATCTGTCGTCGTCCCGATCACTCACTGTCGTCCGCAGTGACTTCCACAGCCGGCCATTAACCACCTGTTCACAATTACAACATGATTTTCAACAAAATATGCTCGCCTGCCACTCCCGCCCACTGCTATGGCCCATTCCCCTACGCCCTGCCCCATACCCCTGCAACCCCAAACCCTGCCACTATTTAGTGACCTAGTGGTCAATAAATGGTCATTTCAGCCTACCCAGCTACCACAACCACCACTGCCCCTACACCCGCTCCCACCCCAGCAATTTTTCGACCATCGTCACCGTACCATGCCCCTTTCCCAACCCCTGATCCAGGTCCCGACTGTTTGTTCTCCCCGTCCTCGTCCCCAATCCATAGCCGCCGACCCCTATGTTGCCCCTGAAACTAGACGCCGCTTCTATTAGGATGTAATTCACCCCTTTAAATCTAGCTGAACCTAGCTAATGTCGGGCATCGTCGGTGCATATTACTCGTTAGGCAATCACTCAGATTCGTCACTCAAATCTGCAGCGTCGCCATGACCTGAGATAAAGAGAAGAAAAGAAGATTGTGGACTATTATGGGAAGAAATATATTTGGATAGTCAATATTCTAGTATTAATTTTGAATAGACTAAATCATTGGCAATATTTGTGTTTTCTTATTTAGTTTGTTTAGGGAGCAACATATATACAT